CAGTTGGCATGATGTTTCTTGCAGTATAAGCTGTTCCAGGACGCCTCAATAATCTCACTCTGCCATCCACAACATGCAGAAGGAACCTGCTTTCGTCCGACCAGTGGACTCTTCTCCAGGACCTCAAGTTCCAGTTCTGTCTCAGTCTACACCAGGCTAGACGTAGTCGTTTGTGGTTGTCTGTGAGTTTAGGTCGCTTGATAACCCTTCTGGACTTCAACCCTGCAGCTTTAAGACGATTTCTCACGGTCTGGGTACTGAACTGTTGACGAGGAAGCCAAAGACGTTTCAAGGTTGTGCTTGTAGCAAATGGATGACGCCTTACCACCCTCAACAACGCTCTGTCATCTCTAACTGTGGTCTTACGTGGTCTGCCAGAGGGTCTGCGATTCCTTACGTCATTAGTTTGTGCGTGTTTTCTGACCAAACGGCTTATTGTTGAGTAGTGATGTCCGGTTCTTCTGCCAATCTCCTTGAACGAAAGACCTGCTCCATGAAGGCCAATAATCTGCCACTTGACTGCTTCTGACAATCGTCTACCCGGCATTGTGGGTTACAATAAACTGGGCTGTCAGAGAACATCTTTTATAGGCGATGTTGAGCTTAAGAAGATACTGCAATCTGCACATTCATGCACCATGCAATTCACGTGCTGATTGCTACGTTTTGGTGATCATCTTCCCTCCGAAAACATTACACATTTAACATCAGATCCCCAAGGAATACCTACCATTAAAACCAGAGTCGGGCGTTTTAAATGTTGTGATGTATCAAACGTATTAATGTGGGGGTGCAACACTTTTTTTACTGTGTATATCTCCATAAAACTCAAGTTTTGTCTTCAAAATTTATTCTCAGCAATGTTATATAATACTACTTTTAAATGTTAAACATCTCAAAACGAAGATAACAGTCTTAAGTATGTAAGATGTTTTATCTAATTTTTCTACCCATACTCGAAGCATATATAAACTGACGTCCAAAAGAAACTTCACCAGAGTTTGAAATCACTCTTTCTAAAAAACAACAAAACATACATGCATGAAGTAAAGTGTATTGAAAAGATCAATATATCAACATAATCAACACTGAAAATGACAATCATACCGCGACCGAGAATGACGTCAGAGCCCCCCAAAGTTGGGTGTGGTACAAAACTCGAGCTTTCAGAATCATGGACAATAGGCAGAGTACATAAACAATCGCTCACGTTCAATAACAAGTCATTAGTAGCATGTGTGACCACTAAATGCCTCAATACACGCAAAAACTCTTCGACGCACAGAAAAGGTCAGTCGTCTGATGAGGTCACGTGGGATTTGACGCCATTCTTCTTGGAGGGCCAAGATCAGTTCTTGCCGGTTGGCTGGAGAGTGTGGTCGTTGTCGAACACGACGATCCATCAAGTCCCAGAGGTGTTCTATGGGGGACATGTCGGGTGAGCGTGCAGGCCACGGCAGGACGTTGACGTTGTTGGCTGCGAGGAAGTTAGTGACAATTCTGGCTGTATGGGCTCTAGCGTTGTCATGCTGATAAATGACACCACGTGGCTGCTGTTAGAAATGGTAGGACAACTGGACGAAGAATGTTATCCATGTAACGCTGAGCTGTCAAGTTTCCGTCAACGATGACCAGCGGTGTCCTCTCCTGCCCACAGATCCCTCCCCACACCATGACACTCCCTCCACCATATGGTACGACCTCCTGCACGCAACACGCCGCCGCTCGTTCACCCCTTCGGCGGTAAAAACGTTGTCTTCCATCAGCCCTAAACATACAGAATCGACTTTCGTCAGTGAAGACAACCCTCTGCCAGTCACGTCGTTGCCAACGTCGTACAGTCCGGGCCCGTCTCAAACGCAGACGACGATGTTGCGCTGTCAATAGCTGTCCTCTGTATGGTCTAAAAGCCCTGATTCCATGAGCCCTGAGTCTCCTGGTCACTGTCTGTCGACTAACCCTGTGACCTAAGGCATTTGTCGCCGATGACGTCACTGTCAGGAATCGATTTCGGAGGTGCAAGGTACGCAAGTACCGGTCATCATGGGGCGTGGTCACCCTGGGCCTGCCTGTCTGTCTGTAACGTTGCATCAAGTTGGTAAGGGCAACACGGGAGCAACCGAAGGTTCGTGCAATATGGGCGTGGGTGGCTCCCATCTGTACCATACCCAAGGCTCGTTCACGTTGTTCGACTGTGAGTCGTGGCATTTCTTTTGTGTGTTTTTTATCACTGTGGATGTCTGACTTGCCGTTGCAATCGTTTTATACCCTTACCATCACGTGCATTTGCAGTTGTCCGTGGTGCACGTGTTTTTCACTTTTTCGCGTGTTATCTCGCAAACATGTAACATACGATTAACATTTTCTGCATACACTATTGTTGTATTTAGGTTATGTGTTTTAGATAGACTTCATCGAAAATAAATAAATTATCCTTTGTCTGAAATTTATATTTTCAGTTGGTAAAGTTTCTTTTGGACGTCAGTTTATATTTATAAACGAACATGACAATTTTCAGCTGTCGAAGCAGCAGTGAATGTGGACATGACATATAGGAACACCTTCTCCTCATCAGACTCGACTAGGTCAGGTGCACATGTGTTCACACTTGTTTCATTCTTAAGGCTGAGTAGCGACTGACGTATTATCCCTACACATATGCAGGGTCTAGCGATGTAAGCTCCTCGTTTCTATAGTTTGTTTATGGGGGCCACATTAAGGTATATCAAGGGTTTACACGTTTAAACTGAAGACTGTAAACCTAATTTTGTCTCGTTAAGGCTGTTTAGTAATCATGAAATATGGCATGTCCTGTAATAATCACATGTGTTTCGTGGAGAACGCCTCTTGGATTTAAATACAGAACTGAAATAATGACTTTTTGTAATGTTATCAATTATTTGAATAACGTTTGGGGGCGGTTGGGTAGCCTAGTGGTTCAAGCGTTCGCTCGTCACGCCGAAGACCCGGGTTCGATACCCGACATGGGTACAATGTGTGAAGCCCATTTCTGGTGTCCCGCCGTGATATTGCTGGTATATTGCTAAAAGCGGCGTAAAACGATACTCACTCACTCACTAAAAAACGTTTGAATAAACTATTGTGACGGTAAACCTTCATGAAGTGTATGATATTAAGATAATATTCTGACAATATTTCTTTCTGTTTTGACACGTTAAAATTGTACTGAGATACATGAGATATTATGCCGAAGTTTAACATGGAATCCCCATTCAAAATATATTGACTTCGAGCTGGCCAGTCCCCGTGGCTATACCCCCTGTATGTTCTGTAGGACAAGCAATGAACTAGCCGGGATAGCCATCCCAAGAATTGCCAAAATGTTTTCCAGAAAATACTGCAACGAATTTTGCTTTTGGTTTTGCAGAAATCGTGTTCGCTTTACTTGCTAGATGGCCTGGAAAATGCGTTGTGAGAATTCATAGAGCAGACGCTAAGAATGCCTTGGCGACAATCGGAACAGTAAACAAAATACATAACATAATCGGATATATAAGCTTATTGCAGGTGGCCGTAATCGGAGCTTTGGAGAGTAATTCAGTTACGCCGCGGAACGTCACCTTAAGCCCACAGTGACGCCAGAGCACGGCTGTTTGCACTGACGTGCCGCCAGCAAACCAAGGAACGAGCGCCAATCATGGCAAGCTCCTCACAGCGATAGCCAATTCGCAGAGGTGTCTTATACTATTGCTGCCGCTGTTCCGGCCGGCCTGCAACGATGTATGACCTGAACTCGCAACCAAAGAACCGTTAAGTTTTAAGCGATGAATTTTGTAATTTTGTCCCGTTTTTTCGTTTTCGTTGTTTGTCAATTTAATATTCTATTTCACACAAAGGGTGTGGTAAGAACGTATATGTTCAATTTCGAATCTGATTAAACAAACAAAACGTTAATTAATCTGGGAAATAGAAAGTGAGTGGAAAACTTTTACAAAATTCATGATGATGGCATTCCGAAAGACAAGCACCAAAAAATTAATGTCATTACATTCTTGATCAGAGGTCAAATTTCCAGATTCTTATACGGGCGCTTTCACACTGGCGGCAGCGATGACACAGGGAGCCTGCGATCCTGACTCAAGGGGTCGCAACTCTGCACAAAAATACAGACTGTGAAATGTCTGTAACGTAATAATATTCAGGGCCGGTGACTTCTTATCGCTGTAAACCGAGTGTTTACCTTGATATTACCCTTATACACGTGGTGTCCCAGCGACTTCCTTTGTTTATATTTATCACACCCTGAAGACGTTAGATATCGGCTATATACTATCAACCATCCTCTGCATACCCTCATCCTCGATTTTCAAGTATATGATCCAAACATAATAATAATAGTAATCCTGTTCTTTTCCTTCAGGGTGGTTGTGCCCACATTTAACAATTTACCAGCCACATGGACCAGTGAACATCCGGGTTAGAATTGGTCTTCAGCAACCCATGCTTGTCGTAAGAGGCGACTAACGGGATCGGTGGTCAGGCTCACTGACTTGGTTGATGGGTGTCATCGTATCCCAATTGCGTGGCTCGATGCTCATGATGTCAATCACTGGATTGTCTGGTCCAGACTCAATTATTTACAGATCTCCGTCATATAGCTGAAATATTGCGGCGTTAAACAACAAACATCCAACAACAAACAACAACACCAACCACCCATGTGTCAAGGAAGAACACCATAATGTTTCACTCTGTATCACCCTGTTGGGAATCGAACCCGTAACTTCGGCGAGACTAGCCGTCGCTTTACCCACTAGGCTACGTTCTATTACCTTCAGAGAAATTGTTTCACATTAGACAGGATCATAATACATATTTACGTTCACAATATGTCTATGAATGTGTAAATTATTTTCATTATATATCAAGTGTACACTCTATATCATAAAGTACAGACGGGCTGTCACAGCCTAGCGGGGATTACATACAGTAAATAGGAGAGAAATAAGATCACTACCTGCCAATCGTTCTCCGTCCTCGGTGAGAGTATTGGTAGTCTAGCAATAGCTCATTGTGTGGACTTAAGTCTCTTGTACTCTTTCACTAGGCGTTATAATAAATCATGATCAAAACTGTGGCAAGATAAACCCAGCGCTATTATTCCTGCCACTTGACTGTCGTCATGCAGTGAGTCTGGTTTCGTGTTCTATATTTACATAATCGACCCGTGGTGGCAAGTGAAGGTAGTGTGATTTGGTCAATAGGTACGCGGGCTCTCGTCGGGAGAGGGAGAGTGATTTGGTCTTGAGGCCTTAAACAACATGGCGCCTGATACTATTGAAATGTGTTGATAACAGTACAAGCGGATATCTACAGTTCGATGGCGTCCCGTGTTCGATAATGTAAAGAGCTGATAAGAAATTGACTGGGCACTTAGACGGCGGAACAAAAGATGGATCAATCAGGTGAAGTATCGGTGGGGCGGGGAGAAACTTTACTGAGGCAACAACCGTCTACAACGACGACTCCATTTTCAGGACACAATCGAGACGGTGACGGCGGTGATCCACACCCTCCCGTCAAACATGGTAGCTTTAAATCAAGTGCCACGAGTGAACGAAGCGGTCACGTGTCAAGCGACAGCTCCCCCGAAGACGGTGACGACTCCTGGGGGATGGTAAAAGTGAAAGGGGGCGACAGAAGAACTGAGTTGCCCAAAATGCCTCCCAAAATGCTTCCAAATTTTGGCGAACATCCTGTCAAGAAGGTCCGCAAGTGGAACAAGGCTGCCGAAAGAAAGCTGGAGATGGATGTGGAGTCTCTGACCCAGGAACTCAAAACCAAAACTTCAAAATTGGATAAGGGCATTCAGAGCGTGGAGGATGAACTACGAGACTTGGACCTGGAAAAGAGTTATACACCACGTTATAGTGAAATGGCGTCTTGTTGTACCTATAGTCAAAGGTCAAGTGTGACCTTACCCGACATTCCATGCAGCAGACGTCACAGCAGCACCAGACGACAAAGAAGCGGCCATCGGTGTACATACAACCCGTTGAAATCTAAGCAGAAATGCCACCATTTCCCCTGCGCCCTCCCCAAGACGTACCACACGATTGGCTATCGTGGGGATCCTGGGACTACCTCATGGATGACGTGGGAAGACATTAAGCAGAGCTGGGACGTGCCGAATCTGGTCGACAACATTTCCACGTCCGTCCATGACGTCAGTGTTTCCCCAAGAATATTGACGATGAGGAAGGAGAACAGATTACGGCGGGTAATAGAACGCCGGAAGTGTATTAACGATATGCATCGGCCGCAAAGCTGGGAGACCAACTATGGTCAGCCGACTTCTTTCAAACAACTGAAATATCCTGTCCGCCTCTACTCCATCTCCAACTGATTGTGAGGAAAGATAGGCGGAGTTGGAGTGGAACTCGAAGTCGTGGGAACCACCGAGAATGTGTTATTTGTTCGAGACAAGCGGAGTGCCGATATTTTACCCCAACGGCGATAAGGATGCTTTGACATGATCACATGTTACTTCGTACTTTTATCGAGTTCGTTAAATTCGTATAAGCGAGTTTTCACTTTGTGTTTTTTTATTTGTTGATTAAATTAATGTCCATGGAGAATCGACTCGCAGATCGACTCACAAAGTTATCTTTACTTCATGTACATCTCAAGGACAACTAACTCTGGAGATACCAAGACCTTATGTGACGACATATACGTTGATTACCATTTGATGTGATCTCAAGACCAAGGCAGTCGGGTAGCCTAGTGGTTAAAGCGTTCGCTCTTCACGTCGAAGACCCGGGTTCGATTCCCGACATGGGTACAATGTGTGAAACCCATTTATGGTGTCCCCCGCCGTGATATTGCTGGAATATTGCTAAAAGCGGCGTAAAACATACTCACTCAAGACCAAACAACAAATATGTTTATGGATTTGTGAAAAGGAGATCTTAAAACTGAATGTAACAAATACATTTATAGATTTTTTCTCAAGACAGAATTTGAAGATAATGTTTACTTTCTAAATGAAATCTCAAATCAGAGTGTGTTTTCACACCAATAACATATCTTCACACACTCTATAGACTCCGTGAACATGTGTGTCAGTGTGTGATATCTATTCTGCTACTTCCGCCTTATACGGATACATCGCTTAAGTACAACATGCTGACACAGTGACTCACGATGTGGTGGTAGACTCTTTCATCATACATGTTTTTCCTGACACATTTCCTTAACAAGGAACACTCAACACTGGGTGTGGATTAAAAAACAGAGGTGGTGTGGTCTATTTAAGGACACCGATGAAGGTGTCTGCGATCACTGACATTTTAGCTTCAACGTGACACTGGGTCAGCACCAGCAACATTGGGTGAGTGAGTGAGTTGGGTTTAACGCCGCTTTTAACATTATTCCTGTTATATCACGGCGTGTCAGCTTAATGTGGGAGGAAAGCCCGAAGTGATGCAGGTCTCAGACGTTTACCACTTTGGTGCTGACAAACCTTGAAACATAATCGGGGCGAACCGGGATTCGAACCCACAATCATAGGTTTCTGGCGTGCCTAAGGGACGCAACTCTGCACAGCGAATCGCGGCGCCTTAGACGACTGGGCCACCCGTGCCCCCTAGCAACATTGGGAGATAATAAAATGAATGTCATATGAAGTGTCCGTATATTTGAATATACCCGGTGTTGGCGTTAGTTGTTTTGTTTGTTGTGTAACGCCGCACTTAGCAATATTCCAACTATATGACGGCGGTCTGTAAATAATCGAGTGTGGACCAGACAATCCAGTGATTGATGTCATGAGCATCGATCGACGCAATTGGGATACAATTGGGCATACCACCCGATCCCGTTAGTCGCCTCTTAAAACAAGCATAGTCGCCTTTTACGGCAAGCATGGGTTGCTGAAGACCTATTCTACCCCGGATTTCCAGGGGTCACAACATTGAAGGTAGGAATGAGACACGTTGGTTAGTTATACCCGTGATAGTATATATTCGATACCCGTGATGGTATATATTCGTTATACCTGTGATGGCATATCTTAGTCATACCCGTGATGGTATATATTAGTTATACCCGTGATGGTATATATTGATTTTACCCGTGATGGTATATATTGTTATACCCGTGATGGTATATATTGGTTATACCCGTGATGGTATATATTAGTTATACCCGTGATGGTATATATTGGTTTTACCCGTGATGGTATATATTGGTTGTACCCGTGATGGTATATATTGGTTATACCCGTGATGGTATATATTGGTTATACCAGTGATGGTATATATTCGTTATACCCGTGATGGTATATATTCGTTTTACCCGTGATGGTATATCTTAGTTACACCCGTGATGGTATATATTAGTTATACCCCTGATGATTTATATTAGTTATACCCGTGAACGTATGTATAAGTTATACCCGTGATGGTATATATTCGTTATACCCGTGATGGTATATATTCGTTATAGGCGTGATGGTATATATTAGTTACATTCGTAATCATAGATTATAGATTCATTAGGCCACAAAAATAGATCCCATAAGCGACGTATTCAGAGATTTTCCATTTCGGTTTTTGCATTCTATGCGTTATCGTATGTGGTGACGTATGTGGTGACGTGTGTGGTGACGTGTGTGGTGATGTATGTTGACGTATGACTACGTGTAAGTTGACATGTGTGGACGTGTGTGGTGACGTGTTTGGACATGTGGGGACGTGTGTTCACGTGTGTAGACATTAATGGCGACGAGTGTGATGATGTGTGTGTGGACATGCGGCGAAGAGTGTGCACGTGTGTGATGACGTGTGAGGACATGTGTCAACGTGTGTGGAGACGTGTGTGGCGACGAGTGTGACGACGTGTGTACACGTGTGTGATGACGTGTGAGGACATGTGTCAACGTGTGTGGAGACGTGTGTGGCGACGAGTGTGACGACGTGTGTACACGTGTGTGATGACGTGTGAGGACATGTGTCAACGTGTGTGGAGACGTGTGTGGTGATGACGTGTGAGGACATGTGTCAACTTGTGTGATGTCGTGTGTGGACATGTGGAGACGTGTGTGATGACGTGTGAGGACACGTGTCAACGTGTGTGGAGACGTGTGTGGTGATGACGTGTGAGGACACGTGTCAACGTGTGTGGAGACGTGTGTGGTGATGACGTGTGAGGACACGTGTCAACGTGTGTGGAGACGTGTGTGGCGACGAGTGTGACGACGTGTGTACACGTGTGTGATGACGTGTGAGGACATGTGTCAACGTGTGTGGAGACGTGTGTGGCGACGAGTGTGACGACGTGTGTACACGTGTGTGATGACGTGTGAGGACATGTGTCAACGTGTGTGGAGACGTGTGTGGTGATGACGTGTGAGGACATGTGTCAACTTGTGTGATGTCGTGTGTAGACATGTGGAGACGTGTGTGGTGATGACGTGTGAGGACACGTGTCAACGTGTGTGGAGACGTGTGTGGTGATGACGTGTGAGGACATGTGTCAACTTGTGTGATGTCGTGTGTGGACATGTGGAGACGTGTGTGGTGATGACGTGTGTGGACATGTGTCAACGTGTGTGATGATGTGTGAGGACATGTGTCAACGTGTGTGGAGACGTGTGTGGCGACGAGTATGACGACGTGTGTACACGTGTGTGATGACGTGTGAGGACATGTGTCAACGTGTGTGGAGACGTGTGTACACGTGTGTGATGACGTGTGTGGACATGTGGAGACGTGTGTGATGACGTGTGAGGACATGTGTCAACGTGTGTGGAGACGTGTGAGGACATGTGTTAACGTGTGTGGAGACGTGTGTGGTGATGACGTGTGAGGACATGTGGAGACGTGTGTGGCGACGTGTGTGGCGACGTGTGTGCACGTGTGTGATGATGTGTGTGGACATGTGGCGACGTGTGTGGCGACGTGTGTACACGTATGTGATTACGTGTTTGGACATATGTGGCTACGTGTGTGACGACGTGTGTGTGGACTTGACGCTGACTACGCCTTAGTCTTTACATGTCCAATATCAGTTTCAGTTTTAGTGTTCGGCCATATAAACATGCACCTACAGAGAAGCCTGGGGTTCTCACGACACAGGGGCTTTCCTAGTCCGGCACCATGAGTGAGTGAGTGAGTTGGGTTTTACGCCGCTTTCAACAGTATTCCAGTTATATCACGGAGTGCCAGCTTAATGTTGGAGGAAAGCCCGAAGTGATGCAGGTCTCAGACGTTTACCACTTCGGTGAAACCCTCGAGCACGGGTATGGTGCTGACAAACCTAGAAACATAATCGGGGCGAACCGGGATTCGAACCCACAATCCCGGAAACCCACGAGCACGGGTATGGTGCTGACAAACCTAGAAACATAATCGGGGCGAACCGGGATTCGAACCCACAATCATAGGTTTCTGGCGTGCCCAAGGGACGCAACTCTGCACAGCGAATCGCGGCGCCTTAAACGACTGGGCCACCTGTGATCACCCCCACCCCCACCCCCCCCCCCCCACCCCCCCCCCCCACCCCCCCCCCCCCCCCCCCCCCCGGGAATATATATATATATATACTGTCGAAACGCATACAAAAGCAAGTCTAGCCAGCTCAAGCTAGCTCTATTCCACGTGAAATCAGCATAGGGAACTTTTAAAATGTTTTTGTTCGAGTCTGCCGAGTCTGTTCGAGCATGCCCAGCATCCGCCTGGCTTCCTACAACGTGACTGGGAGGTCTCCGCCCTAACATCTTCTGGAAGGAGTTCATCGCCTCCTGGGAAGGGCCTGTAACAAAAATCCCCATTTGAAGTTTTCATAAATGTTAACATACAATTACATCGTGACTGAGTGTACGAGACAGAATCACTACCTCAGATATAACACACGCACATATGATGCAAGTATATTTATCAATCAATCTTTCAATGAACTTCACACGGATGTGGCCTGATTTGGTTGGGATATGTTTAAGGAAGGAAACAGACATGTTTTGTGGTACGAGTCGAATGGCGAGGCACGTAAAACAACACCCAGACATACACGGGGTGAGCACAGTCGATGCATTAGCGTCAGCTTAATTATATGGGGTGGGATAGTGACTGTATTTGCTTTACAGTACACTATGGTTATAACGAACACGCTTATAACGAACTAACGGATATAACGAACTAACGTTTTAGGCCCGACTATATGCTGTAGTTATGCTGTATATATGCGTATAACGAATTACGGTTATAACGAACTAAAATTAGTAGTCCCTTTGAGTTCGTTATAACCGTAGTTTACTGTATATGAATTACGAAAAAAAGGGGGGGGGGGGGCGCGGAATCCTAAGATGGCGGGTTCGAATCAAAGAGTCTTGAGTTGGCATCCCCGTATCCTGGGTTACGGGTTTCACATCAAGCCGTACATGTCTCAGATCTACATCACATGGCCTGCCCTCTCCTAATGACGACGTGTTTGGACATGTGTGGTGATGTATGACAACGTGTGTGTTGAGATTTGGTGACGTGTGGGGGTGTATGTGTACGTGTGTGGAGGTGTATGTGTACGTGTGTGGAGGTGTATGTGTACGTGTGTGGAGGTGTATGTGTACGTGTGTGGAGGTGTGTGATGCCGTGTGT